TAGCTACCTAACTACCTAGCTACCTAGCTACCTAGTTACCTAGGTACCTAGCTACCTAGCTACCTAGCTACCTAACTACCTAGCTACCTAGCTATCTAGCTATCTAGTTATCTAATTATCTAGCTATCTAGCTATCTAGTTATCTAGCTATCTAGCTATCTAGCTATCTAGCTATCTAGCTATCTAGCTATCTAGCTATCTAGTTATCTAGCTATCTAGCTATCTAGCTATCTAGCTATCTAGCTATCTAGCTATCTAGCTATCTAGCTATCTAGCTATCTAGCTATGTAGCTATCTAGCTATCTAGCTATCTAGCTATCTAGTTATCTAGCTATCTAGCTATCTAGCTATCTAGCTATCTAGCTATCTAGCTATCTAGCTATCTAGCTATCTAGCTATCTAGCGATCTAGCGATTTGTTTATCTATCTATCTATTTATCTATCTACCTACCTATCTACCTACCGATCTATCTATGTATCTATCTAATTCTATCTATCTATCTATCTATCTATCTATCTATCTATCTAGATGTCTATCTATCTATCTATCTATTTATCTAGCTATCTAGCTATCTAGCTATCTAGCTATCTAGCTATCTAGCTATCTAGCTATCTAGCTATCTAGCTATCTAGCTATCTAGCTATCTAGCTATCTAGCTATCTAGCTATCTAGCTGTCTAACTATCTAGCTATCTATCTATCTATCTATCTATCTATTTACCTACCTACCTACCTACCTACCGATCTATCTATGTATCTATCTATCTACCTAATCTATTTATCTGTCTTTCTATCTACCTGTCTATCTGCAAGGTTGAAATGCCAGCTATTCTGCGAGACTTCTTCATTTTCAAAATTAATAACATCAAAAACGTAGCAATTCTGCGCGACTTCCTCATTTTTCAAAGTTGACAACATCAAAAACGAACCAATGCTCCGAGATTTCCTCAATGTTTGCACGTGACAACGTCAAAAACGAAGCAATTCTGCGAGATTTCCTCATTTTTCGAGCTTGACAGCATCAAAAACGAAGCAATTGACAAGATGCACAATCCCTTGCACCTACCACGCGAAACAACAATTGAATCTCCAAAAGTGGACCGAACCCTGGTGCTTTTAACCTTTTGATTTCGAAACGTGCTTCGTGCCACAACGGTGTGCACTTTTTCGACATCGCAACTTCCAAAAGTGGTCCGAGCATGGTGTGTTTTGTACATGTTGACTTCGACATGTGCTTCGCGTCACAACGGTGTACACTTTTTCGACATCGCAACTTCCAAAAGCGGTCCGAGCATGGTGTGTTTTGTATATGTTGACTTCGAAATGTGCTTCGCGTCACAACGGCGTGTAATTTTTTATCTCATCTGGCCAGATGGCTCCGCACCCGCCGCTTTAGCGAGCCTACTTTTCGACCCTCCGGAGCCACAAATCATTGGAAAACCACAGTGCTTCGCGATTTTCCTACCTTTTCACACATCTACATCTTCTTTCTTCTGATTCTTTCTTTTCTCTAATTTTCTTTCTTCTACTCTTCTCTTCTCTCTAACTCTTCCCATCTCTGCTTTTCATCTGAACATACTTGTCAAAAGTTTGATTTCTAAATTTCCGTCGATTTTTTTTTAAATTAATTTAAAATTATATATATATATTATTAATAATTTGTTATATATATTTTTTCTATATATATATATTTCAAAAATATTAATACATAGTTTAGACAATAAATAATTATATATATAATTATTTATTTATATTAAATTTAGAAATTAATTATTTAATATAAATAATTTATAAAATAAATTAAAGAAAGAAAAAATAATATTATATAATTAAATTCGAAAATAATTTAAAAATGTATATAATAATTAATTAATTTAAGAATTAAAAATTGAAGAAAAAAATAATATTTTTAGAATGTGTTTTGTAAAATTGTGAAAAAAAATATGTTTGATAAAAATATTATTTGTTCCATATATTATTCGCTTTGTTGTTTGGTTATTTAAAAATTTATATTTATATTTTCCGGTAAATTATTTGTTGTTATATAGTTTAGATGATCGTCCTAATAATTAATTGCCCTCTTTGTCCCTGGTTTTGTTGTGGCAAATTTGTAATTTGTTTCCCATTGTTTTTGGCCAACCTTTGATAAATTGGAAATCCTTTGGGAAGAATTGGAGGAACAAAGAGGGCGCACACAGTTGGTATATATTAAAACCCTCCAAATCCAAAAATATGTAAATTCGCTATCTTTGAATTCAGTATGCAATCATATTGAATGTCCTCTCAGTGTGTTTCTTGCTTAGCAGAATAGGGATATGTTACATGTTGTTGCAGTGGCGTGGTAAAAAAAATTGGACAAGCTAAATGTTGCTGGATTTTGTTGCTAGTGATCAAATCTTAACTATATATTTAGGAATTATTTTTTGTCGCTTGAATGAATATGATCAATTGTTTCTTTATCAAGGCAAAGTCCCGGTCTTAGGGGCCCAATTTGGATCTGCCTGCAGTGATGTACGCAGAAGTCATTTTCACGTTTTGCTCATGTGTTCCACTCTTCAGTTGAGCCCCTCGCCCCAATGCCGGTAAGCACATGACGCCCCCACTGCTGAACCTTCCGAGAGTTGCCACAGCAGGCCCTTCACCAAGAACAGAAATGGCGATCAAACACGCCTTCGGATTGGCATGGTGAGTGGTCATCATCATCTTCACCAGGCCTTCACCTGCAGCAATCGTTCCTTTCTTTGCAATGTCCCGTTGCTAGGCTGCTAGGTGGAATCTGATGATCCTCCACTCTCCAAGCCCCTTAGCCAACTTCTTCTGCTGGCCTCCCGCTTCTTTAATGTCAGATACCTCAGCACAGTCTGAGCTCAAATGAAGGATGACGAGAGACCTCGTTGCCTCAAGGTGAGAATTTCTGAAGCAGTGCTCAAGAAATAGACACATGATGACACATGCTTACACGCTTGGATCTCCGGCACACTTGGTCTTGTCCAAGTACTTCGCGAGGGCCTCCACTAGTTGTACTTAAATGTGACTGTCACAAGGCTCCCATGATGGTGTGCTTGCTCAAGATGCTCAAGTTTAGAATCACAATTCACCTTGGACCAGCAGGGGTTGAAGAAAACGTTTGCTTTCGAGGCCGCACTGTTGGGAGCAAGACCTAGGCCTAGTTGACCCAGCGCTTTGAAGTTGGCACGTCCAAAAAAGTATTTTCAAGTCAGAACTATTCACTTTCCGTTTTGGAGAGGCTCATTACATCTCACGACGATTCAAACATTTTAGCCTGGTTTCGTTCGTTGGTCCCCGTCTTAGGTTAAGCCTACGCCACCGAGTATTGACTACTGAGGGGACACCCAAGTGCCTGAGTCTGGGCAAGAGCCATATGATGCCAGGTGTAAAGGAATTTCTGTTCAAGGAAGACTCGTGCCACCAATTCGGAATCGCAGCGGGAATTGTTCTTAGCTCATTTTTCAAACGGAGAAACGAGCACATCAACATTGCAGTATTACTTCCCTTTCACCTGCTTTCTTAGGTCTTACTGCGGGAGCTGGTTCTTGAGTAGCCTAGTTCAGCTTGTACATTGATTTCACAAGCCCCTAACGAGACTTCTATCTCGTTGTGTGGCCAGCAGGAAGGAAGCTTCCACGAACAACTGGCTTGGTAAGGTTTCCTACTTTCGTTGTTGTGATCAAATTTGATTGGAAAGCGGGGAGTTCTTGATGGGAAGCAGCGGCCAGAGTCATTACGGTTCCAGAGGTTTAATGATCTTAATGATTCATGAAAAGAAATAGTTTGAGCCAGCGGTTCTATGTTAATCCGAGATCATCTTGATCTTCGTACGGAGCACCACCACACAGGCAGTACATTGTCACCTCCAACGCAGCAATCTGGAGCTCGACGTCTCCACCATGCTGCGACATTGCCTCAAGAAGTGCTCCCTCCCGGCAGTGCCACCATCGTCAAAGCATCTGAGATCGCAACTGTTTTGGTCAACTCAACTGCCCGCCTGCACATAACAAGATGGTTCAGAGCATGCTGCAAAGACCAGGGAAAAACATACTCCTGTGAAAAACATCCTGCCGAGAGAGCATGCAAAGCGCCTGTGAGAATATCGAGCTCTCTCTTGGATGTCTTGAGGCCATTGAACCCCACTGCCAAGTGCTCGGACACCCTGTCAACGTGCTTGCTCAGCCAACAAGATCCAAGACATTGGAAAGATTTGGAAAGTATTTTGGTATATTTTGTGGTAACAAATAAGCGTAGCTAATGATCAGCTAATGGCAGCTATTCCAACGTAGTCAGCTGCCTTCGTCTGAATCAATGCATCTGGCCCATGACGTCGCATGGCTTCCTCCACCCGCCTCAGAGTTCGCCACTGGTATCACAACAGGAATGTCTCAGGACTCCAGACCAGAAACCCTCCCATTCACACATCAAAAGCCAAGAAGCTCCATGCCGCCAACATCTGCAAATGCCCTCAATCCAGCCTGAAACGGAGCATCTGAACTTGACAGCTTCAAACTCCTGGGGCGCAGAACTGCAAGATTTGGGCACTGAGACTTCCGCCCAGCGATTCCCCACAAGACTAGACCTGGTGCAAAGCCGTTGTGCTGCTTGACATCTCCAGTTGGCGACCACATCCTAACAAGACCAAGCTTCGAACATGGCTTCGATGCCGGTCCTTGGGGCAGCACATATCTGACACCCCCCCAGCCACCAAACAATGGCAAGAAAAAATGCAAAAATACAAACATTTGAAACATGTTCAGTGCCAGATTGAAATCTCGAATATCAAGAACCAGGAGACCCGCAGAACTATACATGACAACATCCGAGAACCTGACAGCTGGACCAAGCTATCGTCAATGAAGCGAGCCATGATGCTAGCTGCAGCCCGGATCGCACCTGTCAAAACACTCTCCCTGTCAAGTGTGAAGGTTCCCGTAGTTCCCGTATGATCAACGCCCGCACCATATCAGCTGCCTGCTTCAACTAATGCAGCGGGCAGGTCTCGAACAGAGTCCATTGGCGAGAGAATTTTGGCCTTAGTTCCATCAGATGGAAAAGAAGAACAGCGGCGCGATGCACCTTCAAAATCTTCACGTCTACCTTTCTTGCTGAACAAAGACTTGAGGCCAGGGAGAATGGACGAAAGCCAGGCATTGGAAGTGGAACAGGAATGAGGGAAAGGTCGTTCTTTCTTGGACACATAGCTTAGCTGTTGGATCTGCTCGGCCAACTGTAATAACATCTAATGACACGATTGCGGAACAGAAGTGGAAAAGAATGGGCACAGTGATCTGCAACGGGGTTTCAACAATGTGCAAGAGAGAGCGCATCTCACGAAGCGTGAAGTTCCACCGATTACATGACGCTTTTCACCAATGCCAAGCGGTAATGGTGCCAATCATGCCTTCACCTAGCCACTCGCGGTGAAGCTATTGATTTATGTCTGCTGCTCAATATTTTTTGACTTGAAACCAGAACATCACCGAATGGGACGCCAACAGGAGGCTATGCATCATCAATGCAGGGTGTTGGTGCGCATGGGACACATACGTCGATGCCGACACTAATCACTAATAATGGAGCTATGTTTTGCCTGCAGTGCTGGTGCTGTTTCTCTTGCAGTTGCTGTGTCGTTGTCACTATCGACAAGCACTTGCAAGACAGCAAAGCAGATTGCTAGGCATGGATGGCAATAGTGCATATTACCCTTTTGGTTCTGACTCTGATGGTCTTTACCCCTGCTTCTTTCAAAGGACCCACCAGGGGGCGGTCTGGGGGGTATGACTGGGTATTTCCTATGGCTGGTATTTTTGATCAAGTAGGAGTGAGCTAGCAGAAGCAGAGCATTTGACATCACTGCACCCAGGAGTTTGATGACTTCAATTGTTCTGAGGCAAGGGCAAGAGCCAACCAACCAACGCCATCCCCAGGGTTTTTGCATTCCTGCTCACATCTTGTGAAGCCCTGGCCCGAGTGAGAACATACACTGCCAACAGTCACAGACCTGCACCACTATAATTGTGGAACTTGCTCAGGCAATTGGCCTCAGCTGCCTGTTTCGCTTCTATCACCTGGCTTCGATGCAACTCCCACGCAACATGGTGGCTTTGTGATCATGCGGTTGCGGAGGGCGCCTCGTTGGAAGAGAGCTGCAGTAGCAGCTGTGGCACAATCTCTTTGCAAACAGCCTCTCCAAGTCGGAAATGTAGGAAACTTCACCGATCATGATGGGTCAAATTTCTTGACCCGAAACACGATGTGAATACTTACCAGACATTACCAAATTTACCAAATTTGTCTATCCCCGATCTTGACTCATACCTAGGACCTAGAGTCCTAAGATGGATCCCACTGGCCTCAGCACTGCATGCGGCCAGGAACAGACCGCAGAGCGCTCCCGGCGAACCCGCCGGGAGCTGCACAGGCTGTTCAGGCGGAGGCCCACCGCCTGAGCAAAGATCCCCCTATGATCTGGTGCTGCCCTGCTGCCATCATGAAATCTCCACTGAGGTTGCATGATCACACCGCCATGCACCACGTACATATCTAAATTTTAATCAATGGTGTTTCTGGCAAGTTCCTGTCTGGTCGAGGGAAGTTGATATCCGGTGACTACTGGTTCTTTACACTATCATCGTTGATGCGCAACTGCTTACTGCAGGTAATCGCTGCTGTAAGGCCGCGGGTGGTGCCTTCGCTTTCTGGCTTTACCTGCCGCTTGGTGCAAGAAAAATCGCCAAGAACAACCAAAAACCGAGAAAGCGTTTAAAGATGTTAAAAGCAGTTTAGCCGGTCCAAGAGCTAAGCAACAGCTGCAGTTGCAGTTTCCCAAAGACCAAACTTGCCGAGATCTAGGAGCCTGATCTGGGGGAGGGAACAAGTGTTACTTTCAGATCTGTTGATCTTCTCACATGCCTCTGCAGCGATGATTCTGGCCAAAGCTTCGCTCGCTCTGGCGCCAATCTCCTAGGTCCATCATAGGTCATGCTGTTATTGCAAGGCGTAAATCGATTTATGATTGTCTGCGCGCACCTTCAACCCTTGAGGGCCCCAAGAAACATCCCTCTATCAATGCCAGGACCTGCCCGTCCTTTGGCTCAGATTTGGATGCCATCGATGTCAGCAGCTGCCCCATGACCTGGGACTCAATAAATACCCAACTTCCAAGGATGTACCAAGGCCGTGCAAAAAAATGGCTTTCCCCAAGAGGCTGCAACATCTGGCTGCGCTAGTCTGGTTAACGCCACTTCCTCACAAGTGCCGCCATTGTCAACTCGAATCATCATAAATCATCAAGGCCCCTAACAATTTTCCTCGGGTTCTCATGCAAACATCGTTGAGGAATTCATCCCACGACAAATGTCCTGGTCATAGGCCATGTTTGAAATGGCTCTCATGGCTGTGAGCTGCACTGCCTGAGCTCATCAAATGACAACCTGTGAAGCACGGTCCATGGCAGCATCCGGCAATGCACTGAGTCTGCTGCTCCCTCTCTGCTATGCAAACGCACTGCTCTAAGCCTCGAGTTTTGATCTAAAGATTCACGACATTATTGCTGATTCCTGACATCTCTCCTGCCATTTTCTATGGGATTTGCAATAATGTGGTAAACCAAATAATGAACTTAATAAACCATCCCCAGCATCATCATAAATGGGTGGTACAAACCATCCCAAATGGTAGGTTTATGGCGTTTGTTTGCCAGTTGTACCCGTAACCCCTTCGATGCACCACTCAGGTGATGGCAAGGCCGGGAGCACTCGCTCGTCCTTGCAGGGCGCCGGTGCCAACAAACCACAAACGAATATAATGCGAGATGATGTTGGGTACATCCCAGGCATGGCTATTTCAATAAAATTATATACGTAGTTATACATGTACGGACATTACAGTGCATGACATGACATGACATGACATGACATGACATTACATTACATGACATTACATTACATACATTACATGACATTACATTACATTACATTTCATTTACATTTACATTTACATTTACATTTACATTACATTACATACATTACGTTACGTTACGTTACATTAGATTATATTACGTTACGTTACATTACACTACACTACACTACATGAGATGACATTACATTACATTACATGACATGACATGACATTACATACATATATAATTATATATACATATATTGTTAATGTGTGTGTGCTATCAAGTAATTAAATGACACCAAGAGATTAGCACCGCATCACTGCTTGCACCGCTTCAAATGGCCTGGCCAACCACCCGAGCATTGGCATACGCCAGAGAGGAAAGCGCCTTCAGGGCCTTTGCCTTAGACGACAAGTGGATCTAACTTACCAATACAACATTTTTCATGTTTTTTGTATAGAAAATGATGAATAATGAAGATGATGATCATGATGATAATGATGATCATGATGATGATGATGATGATCATGATGATGATCATGATGATGATCATGATGATGATCATGATGATGATCATGATGATGATCATGATGATGATCATGATGATGATCATGATGATGATCATGATGATGATCATGATGATGATCGTGATGATGATCGTGATGGTCGTGATGGTCATGATGATCATGATGATCATGACGAGTGACGACGTTTGTATTTAGAATTTACGGCATTCACAGTGCATTTCCCATTGGCATGTTTGCCTACCAAAATGCACCCATTGATTATAGAAAAGGGACATCTACAGTATGGACGAGCGTGACTTCAAAACACGAAGACGCAAAAACAAACAGAGCTTCTGACACATTCTGCGGGCACTGCCTGCAGGCCATCGCTGTTTCTTGATGCCAAGGCCGAATGAAATGAATCAGTGCAGTGCTGGCCCTTTTTCACCATTGCTGCCTCGTATTCGGCCATGTGGACCAGGACCTTGGATGTTTGGATGCTTCTTACCGTTCTCAAGTGTTCTCACCACTTTTTCTGCGCCAAGGAAAAGGCATCTTGAAGATTGTCGCGGTTGAAGGCCTCCCGTGATGTTTCGCAGCTTTGCATTGGCTTTACATTACATCTTTGATTGGACGTCGATTCATGCTCCACAGGACCATGTCATGGCCTTCGCATCTCCAACTGGTGCAGGGCGAGGCTGGTGTGCCCTTGAATCGTTGATCTGACATCTTCATTGCAACTGATGGGTCTGATGGATCTGATGGATCTGCTCTGGGTTGCCCTGCCCATTGGTCACCTGCCCACTAGTTGCGTACCCTCGCGTTGGCCCCGATGATGCCTTAGAAGTGCTCCATGCTGAGACTTCAAGTGAACCAGGAGCAACTCCTTCTTTCACAGTCTGTCAAGGTCCGCACCCCGGCAGGCAACAACGGTTCAAAGCTCTCTTGAACTGCCTGAGCAGCAATTGGCATGGTGCAACTAGACGAGTGACCTGCAAATCCGCGCGGTCCCTTGCTTTTCTGAGAGGGGCACCAAGCCCCGCAACTGTTTGGACAGTAAGAGATTTTCCTGGCTCTGTGAAACTGAAACAGCTCTCAGGCTAAAGCTACATGAGGCGAGCCACCATTCATGAACTGTATGAGATCCATGCGCAAAATAAAGATCCGCTCCTTTTCATTCAATTGGAGCAAATACTTCTGCAGTGCTTCACCCTGTAGTCCGAGATACGCCGCCTCCGGTGCACAGGTCTAGTAGGATTACACCCATGAAGGGTTGATAAGCCACCCATTTGGGAATGGTTTATACCACCTATTTATGGTGATGACTGGGGGATGGTTTATTACTGCTTTACCCACATTCGGTCCTGAGTAGGGGTCTAAGCCTCCCATCGCCCGAGGGCCAGGCTCCGTTCTGCAAGGCCCGCTTGACGGACTGCAGCTCAGCTTGGGTGCTTTGCAGCTCGCTGGCGGAGGCCATAACTGCCTCACCTTGCACGGTACCAATGATGGTTGGGAGAGAACGGGATTCCCAGCCAATGGTTGGTGAATGTTGGCGTGGTTTACCCCAAATTTATGATAGTAATAAGACAATAAGATGATAATATGATAATAATATATTACAGTATAATTATAGTTATATGATAATATTATGATAACATTGATGCTATGTGAATATTTACCCAAAAAGTCTCCCAGTATGACCATATGATGACCATATATGATGATTATGATGCTAGTCCCCAATATCAAGGGTAGGTCAATAACCCCACCAAATGTAGGGAGATGAAGATGTAATGATTGCCAGCTGCGCCACAAATGTTCACAGTTGCCATTGTGAAAGTCGTAGCGAGAGAATTCAGCAAAACTGTCTGGGAGAGCGGCGAAAAGATAATCCTACCTACTGCGCCCCGATCCCAATGAACATGCTAACCGAACTGAAAACTGCAGCGAAACTACACTTGCCGTGCATTTGCAGACCGCCCAACGCTGGTGTGTTGACTTAAACATCATTTTGCATTGGCAATTGAGGGCGGCCTCTTTTTGCCGGCACACCTTCTGGACAGCTGCAGGGTCAATACTGTGGATAAACAAGACCCATTCAGAATAAAGGCGCTGAACTCTTGGCAATGCACCTTGTAGTAATGACTGGCGAATATCTTTGCCATTCAACTTGCTGCCAAGAGGTCATGTGGCTACTAGAAGTTGTTAAATGTGTCTGGGGTGAAACATTGAAACACCAGTAACTGGTTAGCAGCGTCAAACCAGCTTGCTGGTCATTGCCACGATGCCTTTGGTGAAGTCCTGGGCTCATGCTGAATGACACAAGCGCAGCTTTGGGATTTGACACGGTCATGTTCCCAGTCCTCGAACATGTCAATATGGGAAACGTTCCTCATCGCCGCAATGGCCAAAGATGGTGAGCCTGGTGAGGCTGGTTGTGTTTCATTCCAATCTGCGATGACCTGGTCCGTTCGGTTTGCGCCACGACCGCCACCCGCATCGATGTGGCCGGCGGCCTTCAGGGGACATGGTCATTGCCTTTTTATCACAAGTGGATACGGTGAATAGCCTTTATGCTGAAACATGCTGAAATAGTTTTCAGATGTTATTAGCTCTTGTCGCAACTGTTGCTGGCTGCCTGGCTGTGGCATCCAGCTGTAGCAAATACTAGGATTTTATCTTATTGAACCTGCCTCGTCCAGGGCAGCGATGAGTTGCTCCAACGCTTTTGCTGCAGCCTCTGTCAAAGCTGCTTGGCCACTTCTGCGCGCTCCGGCCAAATCAGCCCTGGCCAGGTGCAAGTTACGGGCATGGAAGTTGGATGAAGTTGGCACCAAGCTTGGTAGCAAAAAAAAAAAATGTGCCTGGCAGCAGACACAGCCTCTGCTGCCGACAGGACTTTGCCACGCAGAGCCGACAACCTGCTCGACGCATCAACAAAACCCCAGGCACTGAGGCTTTGAGCAACGCTTCCAACCTTGCCACTGTGCGCTGTACCACTTGATGGCATGCTTCTCTCTTCATGACCTGAAGTGCATGGAATCCATCGGTCAAACAAATACATATATATATATATATATATTTACATTAGATGTGAAATGTAAAGCCTTGACATGTCACTGAACTACAGCACTCCACGAGTTCACATCCGCATAGTTTTTTTCCTTTCCAGGCTTTCGTAATGGGTCTCAACCTGCCTCCAGCAGGATAGTGCTTTGGTAGGCTGTGCAGGTAATCTCCCTGCACAGCAGCACTGGTTAGACCCGTACTCCTGTTCCGCGCTCCTGTTGTCCCAGGAGGCTACACGGGTTGATTCTATCCCAATGCACGTCTACCCCAAACCACTTAGAGAAACTCCACAACCCGTAGAAACGCGGGGAGTGGTAGAGACCAGATCTCGAAGGGGAAAACTGCAAAATGCGTGGTGAACCCATGGCGCACGAGGGCCAGAGTGTGGTGCTACCTCAATCTGTCTAATAAGGTTTCGTGGCAATGATGGTCTTCAACAGGCAGAAACATTGATGCAACTCCTCAGTTAACTTTGAGGTGCGTTCCCGTTGCCTGTGCTTGATAGGAGCAAGGCCGCTGCAGCCAATGCGCCCCCAGACACCAAGCTCAAAGAAGTTGGCAATGCCATAGATCTTGGCCGCAACTCCTGGCTGGAGCTTTCCCGCTCCTTCTGCAGTAGACATGAGATTGAGGAGTTTCGGCTCAATGGGCTCACGAGCCCAAAATTGGATCATACCATGGGAATGCACTCGACTCAAGTCATGGTCGAGCCCCAAAAAGGTTCCAAATCTTCTGCATCTTTTGGCATTTCTCTTCTGAAAAGGGGGTGCCTAACAACCGATTGAGCTGCTGCATGGCTTTCTGACCTGATCCTTTGCAAGCTTTGCGGTCTGTCACATGTGCGTCATCAAAATAAAGACTTGTCAGACAAAGCCCGAACCTGCGAGACAGGGCTTCTACAAACCGACTGTACCGATTGAACGAAGTAACTGCAAGTGGAAGCCCAAACAATAGCCCTATGTACACCATGAACGCTGGCTGCTTCCATTCATGGTGGAAAAATGTCACCACGCAGCATAGCGCTTCCTCTCTGCTCATGGGGCAGAACCTGCATGCATCTGGCCAGTCTTCACCTCCTGCCTCCCATTCCTCTGCTTCCCAGATAGGGAGTGCTCCGTAGGCAAATGCATACTGAAGGTGTTGAGCTGGTCGTATCGCTGAACAAAGAGTCAACTTGTTCGCATCACTGGACCGTTCGGACTGTAGTCCCACGTATGCATCATCAATGACTCGCTGTTTCCCAGACGACTGTGCGATGACGCATCTCGGGATCAGGCGCTCCAATCATGTGATGCAATGCACTGGCATCCATGGGGTAGCTGCAGAAGCCCTTCTCCGCATCCTTGAGACTTTGCAGGAGGAACTCATCGTCTGCTCCCGGCCGGAGTCTAGCCAGGATCCTCCCATTGTGGCTCTGCCAGCCTTGCAGGACATCCTCCCGTGTCAAACAGGTAGCCTCCTGTTCTGGGAAGATGCCGTAGGGTGGTGCGTAGCCCACTGCTGGTAGTCCAAGGCATAAGCCCGCTGGCAGGGTCACGTCGCCCCAATTTGCCAAAAGCAGTAAGACTGCCGTCAGACCGATATCCCTCTGTGCTGTTGCTGTACGGATGGCCTCAGTCTGCTTGGTCCGCAAGTGGGTGGTTATCTTCTCCCAGCGCCTCTTCATCTCGGACAAGAGGCCCAGCGCACACTTTCTCAGTCTGCTCAGGTCAACTCCTGGCAGGCCCGAGAACGATGCTGCAAATCGACGGTCATCGTCCAAAATGGGCAAGCCTTCTGTTGGGAAGGGCTGTAAACTGAGCGCCAACGCCTGTTCAAAGTGCTGGTTTGGAGACAACTGAAAGGGGAGCAGTGGGGCAAGCGCCGCACGATGGTTGATGGCACCAACTTCTTGCCCTTCAGCAGTGCGCATCTTCTGCCTCACCGATGGGGCTGCCAACATTGGGTTGTAGCTGCCCTCCATGTCCAGACCCTGCTGGTGTCGCCACCGAATGTATAGATCAAGGGGGTGTTGATTCACGAGGTCCTCAATGTATGGGATCTCTACACCATGGAACCGCTCGCCAGGATACAGCTTCTTAAAAGCCAAGGCCAACGACTCCTGCAAGATGTAGAAGGGACAAAAGGGAACTCCACTTGCCCTTGCGACGCTAGACAGGATCACACTACGGGTCACTCCCGTGCCACCTCCACCATGTCGCCCTGGAACCACTTGTGGGGCTCCTCGCTGGCCACTCATGCTCGATCTGTCAAAGATAAGCCCCGCCAGTAGGTCAGCCTCACATGTTTGGGACAAGGGGCAATCACACACCAGGACCAGGCCCTCCAGCTCCTCCAGCTCATGCCATAGCGTCTCCCACACGTACTGGACGTAGTATGGCTATGGCGCGTGCAATTAACCCCAATCTGCCACGGGGATGTCCACTTCGTAGTGGGGAGGCGGTGGGCATGATTCCCCATGCCCACATACACATGCCCCGCGGGCTTGCTGTAGCACATCCTCCACACATGCCCGAATGCCGACTCTGGCTGCTTCGCCGTATCCACCGGCCGGATCCCCAAGCAAATGGCCAACGCCCTGGGATCAAGATCTAGCCAATGCTCCCTATGATCAAGATCTAGCCAATGCTCCCTATGACCCGTGGGGCTAGGGGACGGTGATCTCGGCACATACTGCTTGGCATGACCCATGCGAAACAGAGCTCTGCCGTATATTCTGACTCCTCGGCAGATGGGTAGTGCCTCCGCCCATCTTGGAGGCCGGTCTGTCGAACCAGAGCTCTCTGCCACCGCAGCTGCCCTCGGGATGAGCTCATCCTCCATGTTCCGAGACCGCCCCTGTAGCCAAGCGTCCACCACATGGTGTCCTCCATGCGCGATTGCACTGTCGTATGAAGCAAATGCGTGGGCAAAGTCTGTATCATCCAGAAATCCCCACTGAGCCCTCCACTGCTCCACTCGAGTAATCGCCACCCTTTCCATGGCGGTGTCGGCCGAAGGAGCCTCTCCAGCCGCCTGGACCGCATAGGCCCCTGAGTGGTACGCCATTGCGACACCCGAAACCACTGCCGCAACGGTTGGACAAGTGCTGCACAGGGAGGAGAAGCAACGGTTGCAGAGATCCGATGTATGCAAGCCGCATGCCAGGGCGGCAGGGGTTCCTCCCCTGCCCCAGGGCACCAAGCCACCCCCACAACGACCGGACTGCTCTGGCCAGTGGTGCCCTCCACGCGACCACATCAGCCGGTATGGGGACCATAGATGGGTTCCCTCCATCCTCGACGTGGCATCTGCCAAGTTCTCCATGCTTCCCACAACTCGGTGAGATCCACCATGCTGTCTCCATTGTGCTCGATGAAGGCGACCAGGCCGTAGATATTGTCCGGCGCAAAGTCCAAGGCAGTCCACTGCGTACGCAGCGGCTCAATGAGCAGCAAATCCAACTTCGCCTCGCCAAGGCGATCATAGTAGGATTGCCACGCAAGCCGCGGGTCACTCCCGGGTAGAGCCAACACAGCTGAGCTGTTCCATGCGCCAAGCCATGGGAATTTGAATCCCCCCAGAAATTCGGCACATCGCCTACAGTTCTCAACCATGCTGGGCGCCCTTCTGAACAGGCGAAATCCCTCCACCCCCAAACCGATGAGATGAGAAGGAAAATGGTCAATCTGGCACACTGAAGACCAGAGGCGAACCGCCTGGGAGGCAAGGCCCCTTTGCAAAAGGCCCTCCGCGTGGGTCTTGAACTCGTAGTAGACCGCGGCATGCAACACCTCGGTATCAGTGCGGGCCGCCACATTCCACCCAGGCCGAACAACGAGAGCTCTGGGCATGGGTTGGGTCACTCCCAACACTCGCTCCCTCTATACCCTAGGGGAACGCCCTAGTAGGCGAAAAGGCGAAACGAAAACCACCTCACGCCAGGGTTACCCCCTAGTAGTGGTGCGGGCAACACCCACAAAGAAGAAATGATGAAGCCAGTTTGGCTCAGACTTGAGCCAAAATGGATTCATCAGCCTACATGCTCACCCTAATGATAATGCACACCCAGTGCCTGCCAAACACGATGCATACATATATATTTATATATAATATATATATATATACAGGAGAAAAGACAATGTTTTATTACACAAGTTCCTTCCCTGTGCTCAATCCAGGCATTTGGCCGTCCCAGCACCCTTGACCAAACGGTTTTCCATATCTTTGGCCACCTGCCAGCATGACACAACAGCTTGTCACCCCAGCCTTTCAACGAGCCAAGCTGAGCCAAGTGGCCTCCAAGTTGCGCTCCAAGGCCTCTGAGGCTTGTTCAATATCGAACCTGGCTGGCAACACTGGTGAAAATGCTGGACCAAATTGAAACTTCACCCTGACCCATTTCAGTTGATAACTGCTGATCTTTGATCATCTCCAATCCGTCTTCAAAAATGAATCCTACGGCTTGAAGCTACCCGAAATCGTGATATGTAAATTTCTCCATCCCTTCATAACACAAGATCCAGTCAACTGCCTTGTCTGCTCAGGTCTGGCCATGCCTTTTCGAGCCAATGAACTCGCAAGTTGAAGCGCACTTGCACATCTACTTGATGCTACGCTAGAGAAGTCTTCCCTTGCACTTGCCCATGACAAAAAGGACATAAACGCACGCCATCCTCAAGGTGCTGTCCCTGTGTTGTTGCCAGTAAAGTAATTGGGGGTTCCTGCAATTTTTCCCATCATGCATTTGTGTCAACTATGATTTGTGCACCACTTCGCCACGTTGAGGTGTAGACCGCTTGCTCTACCGCCACGCTTCAGCCAAAGGACAGCTGCCACCCTGGCAGAAAGAGCCTGGCTTGAATTTAACCAAAAAACACGACAGCCACCACAATGGGGATAGATAGGGGAGGGAGGGGGAGAGAGAGAGAGAGAGAGACACAGACAGACAGACAAACAGACAGATAGATAGCTAGGTAGGTAGATAGATAGATTGATCGGATGGATGGATCGATGGGATGAGATGGGATGGGATGGGGAGATAGGTCTGCTCACGGCACACGGGCACACAGGCAATCCACGGGCACACGGGCACACGGACACACAGCCAAATCATGGGCACACGGGCAATCGACCGGCACCCGGGCACCCGGGCACGGGCACACAGTCAATCCACGGGCACGCGGGCACAGGACTCAAAGAAACTCAGGTAACATGACGGAATAACAACATTGCAGCGGAATAACGGCGAGCCCACATAAAGGAATCTACGGTAGACGGAGCCAAAACGACACATGTGGAAATTAACTTGAGATCAAGGCAAAACAACGACATTAAGCTGCACGCAAACAACACGGCAAGGACAGCGACATGCCATCTACAGCAGACGGCGCCGAAACGCCGCATGTCGAAATTAACATAACATCAAGGCATCACAGACAGTGGAACAAAGTTGCATGCAAACAACAAGGCAACCACACGGTCATGCAACAAGAAGGAACGTCAAACAAACACCAAGGTCTACAACGACCGGCAACGAGCACATAATGCTGCTATGCCATCACGCTGCGGCAACCGGTTGACACACAGACAGACAGACAGACAGACGGACAGACAGACAGACAGACAGCCAGACAGACAGCCAGCCAGGCAGGCAGGCAGACAAACAGATAGATAGATAGATAGATAGATAGCACGTCGCTGGCCCGGGCACACGGGCACACGGGCACACGGGCACAACCCCGATCCACGGGCACACGGGCACAGGCCAACAGAAGACTGCCCGCGGGATGGGATGGGATGGGATGGGATGGGATGGGATGGGATGGGATGGATGGATAGATAGATAGATTGATAGAATGATAGAATGATAGGTATAATATAGTCAGATAATCAGCAGTATGATGTGCTGGGGCATCAGAAAACGGGGATAGACCGTATACCGTATACCCCACAAAAATTGCATGTTGATATGGAAAATGGTGATGAATAATGAACTTTGGGAGTGCCCAATTTTCAGTCAAACCCACTTTCGGAAAATCTTGGCACGGAATCTGGTACGCTTCGCTGTCTTTTTTTGGCAGCCGCTACATCTGATGCATTTTTCCGCAGGAGTCAATTTTGGGCATCACTTCTTTTTGACTGCTGCTTCGAAGGAATCCCATCCAGGCGGATCTGTCAACAGTGGAGTAGGACCATAATTGGCCAAGTAGCCAAAGGTGTCTCTTGTCCTGCCTCCCTTGTCAATAATTGAGTTGTAGTAGCCACGATAGGTCTTTCCTTTCGCTGGGTCGTAGAAAGGATCCTCCTCCCCATGGAGCAATCGTTGTTCAGGATCTTGTGTGACAACTCCGACGCGTGCGTACGAGTCGCCTGGCTTCCTCCAATTTCCAATCTTTTCTTTTCCATTCAAAATTTGAGGCATTCTTTGCACTTCAAATCCGATATGAGCCACTGGAGTCCGCCCACGCTCAAAGCCTGTGTTTGGTCGAAACTCTTGCAAGTCTTCATCCCAGTATTTACCGAGCGTGCGGACGGTGAGATCAAAGAAATGAGGCTTCATATCATCCTTGGCCACGCATGGCTTGTAGAACGAATCTGTCAGGTTTTCAGGTTGAGAGAATTTCTTGAGACGTGTTTTGCCTGCCAGATTCACCAGCGGATCCAGCAGGGGAAGCTTGTAATCTGCGTCCCAGTAGACGATTCCCGTAGTTTGGTCTTCCAAGTGCACATGGACTGCTTGAATTCCACCAAAAATCGGGGGCGTTGCATTGAAAGTGATTTCTGGATGAAGTGGGCTCTTTTCACCTTTCCCTTCCTTGTCCGGTCTGCGGCAACCATAGATGAAGCCCAGGCCCGGCTTCTCTTCGCCAACATCAGTGGCATAAATCTCTGGCGATTGAAATTGTAATCGGATCCTGACTTTGGGCTCCAATCGCGGTGTTTTCCGAAGGTCCTCTGGCTTTGGAGGTTTATAGGCCTTTGCTTTTGCCTCAAATGAGGTTGAGATCTGAGGGCCTGGTCCACTAAGAAATGAAGCTGCCACCTGACGATTGGCCAACCGAGGGCATCCGGACCACTGCAAGCACTCGCCTATAGAAAGCTCTTTGGCACTCGCAGGGGTCTGTGGATGGCGAGTTTGGCCTTCCCAACTAGATATCAAGTTGCTGAAGCACTTTAGAGGCATCGCAGGCATGGCATGTCTTTGCAGGCCAGCATGGGTGAAAATGCACTGTGGAATAATCTTTGGCAGAGCTGTGCAGCATCTCAAATCTGCTGAACTGACATCTGGAATTAATGTCGGTAAGTTGGCTGAGAATTAATTACAAGTGTCGAATAGATTGACCGTGCTGAAGCCAAATTGGATCACCACAATCGTGCAACAACATGTTTGTTGAACTACTCGATTCATGCCGCAAACTGTCACAAAAACATTCAAAAACATTCACAAACATCTTGCGGTGAAAACCAGATTGCCTTGCTCTGGCCATCCAAGATTTCTCGAGTCATGGCTTTGAAACGAAGTCGCTCCTCAACTGGAAGCAGTTTCCCAGCGTTTTGATCAGCTCCCCTGACAACTGATTGGTTGCTGATGTGAGGTTAAGATTCCCTTTGTGAGCCCCCAAAAAAGAACGGACCTTACAAAGCATGGGGTGCTCCTCTTCTCTTTGCCTCACCTGCTCAGTTGCATCTTCCAACAAGTCACACCTCAACTTGCAAAATGTGAAGCTGAAGCTGGCTTTAAAACTGATATACAACTGCATCATAGAGCATTCCACTGAGATGGAGGCAGCAAATCTATGCTTGGAGCGGCTGCACCAAGCTTTCGTCTGAACTGCAGGACCTTTTGCAAAAGGTTTTGCAGGCCACAGATTGCGCACAAAATGCATCGCACAAATGTTCACACAACATGAAGTATTCATTTCAAAAAAAGTTCCCTGAAAACATGGCGTCTTGTCCATCGACCTGCTTCAACGCCTGAGCTAGATCCTTTGTCCTGCAACAATGTGCATAAAACAAACCGCGAGGCCAACGTCTCGACTATCAGTGCTGCCGTCCTGAGGTGCTTCTGAAATGCAAAAGCATCTTCAACTGAAGTTCGAAGCTCTGGCCAGAGAGCCTCATCAAAAGTGATTTTTGAAAGCACAACTTGACCAAAAGCATACCGTTAACGCACCACAAATTTGACGGCTTAACTAGCTAGCACTGCACATAAGGCATCAAGCACTCCCCGTGCGAGCAGCCTGAAGCCTTGCCAACACATTCAGCATTTCCTGTGACACATGGAAGGCAGAAGGCAGCATCTTGGATCTTCGCAAAATCTGGAGGTGAAGAAGTTTAAATGACGATATGCAAAAGCGGAGGTCAAGTCAAGTCACAAACTGCACAGCGTGCGCCTTCAGCTCAGCTTCTAATTGTCTGCCGGCCTGTCAGCGCAAAACTGGGAGTAATGAGCAAAGAAACCGTCGGAATATGTCAGAATGAGTCAACTGCACTGCACTGTTTGACCTCAAGCCCAACCTGCAACGCTTTGGCAGGTCCTTGCTCCAATTGTTCGACCCTCGGATGCCAAGTCGTGAAAAACGGACAACACACTGGGCGGGTGGTCGTCCCGACAACCGCCGAGGTGGCTGCAATGCTCCAAGGGCTGCTGCATTGTCTGCAGGCTCGCTGGGGGCCATTAGCGGAGAGAAGACCTGGAGAGAAGACAGTCTTGCACTCCTCAAGTTCTAAAATCACACCTATCTGCGGCAAGAGAGAAAATAGAGAAAGGATGAGAAAAAGAGAGGTGGGGGAAGGTATGTGTATGTGGCGGCATGCATACTTATATCATAAACCTGTAATTACCTGTGATTGCCTGTGTATACTAACAAGGTTGTAGATAGTGAGCCACGACCACACCATAGAACAACAAACCAAAAGCTGTCCCACTGCCTGCGGCGCGGATGCTTGCGCCGAGTCTGTTGGAAGGCCCAGGGACGACAGGAAATCACTGCAGCAGCGAAGCCAGGTACAAAGATGCGGATTGTTCAGTTGGCAATGCCGGCCATCACGGTCTATGAAAAGCAGCAACATGCCCTGCCTGAAAACTCCAGACCTCAACTGCAATCTACTTGGCTTGGTATTTTGGCTTGGTATTCGACATGCTGATCAATTCACATCGATTCACGAGGTTCGAGCGTTCCCGCGTCCACAGGGACCTGCTCTCTGAAACCTGATGTCGACTAGACCAAGAATACATGTAGAATCCTGTAGAAAGTGATGTCAGAACCTAAATGCGCCTGGTACTCTTGTTTCAAATTTTAGACCCTACAAATGGACGTTTCAAGTTTCGACTCTTAAACCCTGCAAACATCCACAGTTTCCAGCCTGATCCCCGCAAGTCTGTCCGCAGCGTGGCAGTCAACTTGCTGACCCTGCACAGCTGCACAGCTGCAGAGCTTAAAATGGTTTGTAGCGATTACTGATTTTCCGGCCCATCAACTTACACAAGCTCGAACAGTGGGGTCCTGCTGCAAGATTGAGGAAGCATCTGCGCATATTCCTTCGGGCTAGTGGCTTTCCCGGCTTTCCCTGTTGATTTCCGTTCAGTCGCCGCATCGCAGCCCATCCTCACATGCAAGAGAGTGCTCATCGATGAGCCGAAGGAGCTCCTGCATGCTTGTGTGCAATGCATTGCTTACATTAACGGCAGCAGCAAAAGAAAGGTTCAAGCCAATGTTGAAGTCAAGTGGTCGAAGCATCCAAAATTGTTAGATTCTTAGATTGTCTGCAAGTGAAGGTCCACAATGTCCACAGTCACAGTCCTTCCCAGGAACACTTTTGGCCGTCCGAAATGCTTGGAGCATGGCCAGGGTGCTGTTCTCTACTTCCTTCTCGGATCCTGAGACCCAGTGACCATCTGAACACTGGGGACACATGGCTTGCATGTCACCCGCAAGGTGTCTTGGGTACCAGCTCCGGCCAGTGGATGGCTCCGCCGGGGAAGCATCAGAAGCCTAAACTGATTTCAGCCACATAACAGTGAGACAATGAAACATATTCAAGCATTCAATCCATTGCCTCTGTTGGAGATCTGAAGACGAGGGAAATAAAATGATTTTTTTAAAAGAAAAAATTGGTCTGATCAACGAATGTTCCAAGGCACCACAGGTGCTTGTCCTTCGTCCGGCTGCATGCCATGGGTCGCATTGCCTCCAGATATCTCCAGATGTGAAGTCTGGCAATGAACGACTCGAACGACTGGTCATTGTGTCTTGGCCTCGTTGTGACCGAATTGCAGAATGAGACAGCAGGCTTTGAGACAGCCATGAGCCAGTGCCAAAAAAGGGCCGCAGCATGCTACATTTTGAGTCATGTCCGCAGCTGAGTGAATTGATCTGCAAAAGAACGGTGGAAAAACAATCATCGAGAATTTGCAGGAAGCAAATTTCAAGCCACACCTTTTTGTCGCTAGCTAATGGCTTTGAAACGTGCTGGCCTAACGCACGAGGGAACCAGATATTGGCAAAAGTTCACCACTTTGTCTTGCCTTTGTCCTTCCCTCCTTTGTTTTTGCCCTTGCCTCAATGACCCGAGAATTCACTGACTAGTCACTGACTAGTCCCCTTCTTTTGACCTAGCGTTGGCAATATTTGCACTGGCCGTATGGTACAAAGACATTAGTATTTCACACATGCGTGTACGATTGTATCATACATAGATAGTGGGACCCCCCGCTGGGAAGAAATACAAGATTAACCACCAAATGCAATCAGAATCTTCAATTCAACTGGCTGCCCACCATCAACTCATTGATTGAGTGCAGGCGAGCGTCCCTTCCCCTTTCTGGCACCTTTGTCCTGAGGAATCAGCCAATGTGAAGCATGATAGTTTATCGCTGCCAAGAAAGAAGGCCTTGGCCCTCGCGCTCAGAGCTACGTTCAAACCCGAAGTCCTGGGGATACTCGTCGTCTTCCTCGTCCTCGTCATCATCGGTGTCATACTTGCCTCAGGCAATAACTTCATGCGATTCTCTGGGGGCTGTCTTGCCGGCAAAATGTTCAAGCAAAATGAATTGTGGAGGATTGACACTCAAGGATGCCAGGCAACTCTTGGATTTACCCTTCTCCTTTCCTTTCTCTTTACCTTTGTCTTTCCCTTTGCCTTTGGCCTTTCCTTTCGGGGAAGGCTCTTCCTCATCTTCATCCTCATCGTCTTCACTTTCATCTTCAACATCGTCTGCATCTCTGGACTTGGATTTTCCCACACCCTTACCTTTGCCTTTTTCCTTCCCTTTCAGCTTTCCCTTGCCTTTCGGACTAGCAAGATCTTCATCGTCTTCTTCTTCTTCTTCATCTTCCTCCTCGTCCTCTTCTTCAGCCTCTTCCTCTTCCTCCTCCTGATCATCTGCTTCTTCCTCCTCCTCCTCCTCTTCTTGCAATTCCTCCTCCTCTTCCTATGATTGGCCAATATAAAAGCTGCACACAGGAAAGCACCTACGACCCTGACCGTTGCAACAGTGGTCTGCAAAAACTGCAAAGAATCATGGCTATCAACAGCTGCCCCATCGAGGTGAAACTACAACCTAAAACCATCCCAGCTACGAAATTCCGTAACTAAATGAAACTACCCATGACTGGTGCCCAGTAACTAAGAAGAAACGGTCTGACCAACACTTGCACGAGCCTCTTCGCCATAAGCATCATCAACTTCCTCCTCGTCACCTTCAATTTCCTCGTCCTGACCCTCATCCGGATCTTCATCCTCTGCCTGCTCGTCGCCGTGCTCATCCACTTCATGGGCTACTTCATCCACTTCATTTTCTAGCTCGTCATGCTCATCGTCTGGTCTTTCATCTTCAGCGTACTCCTCCTCCAACTGCTCTGCATCCTCTGGGGCATCGCCATCGTCTGCCTCATCCGCTTGCTCATCCTCTTGCCCATCCTCCTCGTCGTTATGACCATCCTCGGCCTCATCCTCATGACCATCCTCGGCCTCCTCGTCCTCATGACCATCAACATGCTCTTCATCCTCGGCGTTGTAGTCATCTGCCTCCTCATCGTGGCCTTCATCAACGTCCTCCTCCTCCTCGGCGTCATCATCTGGCTCCTCCTCATGGCCATCCGCCTCTGCTTCCTCTTCCTCAAGACCATCAATGTCCACCTCCTCATCCTCTTCTCGAGGTTCTTCTTCCTCGCCTTCCTCCTGTGCCTCCTCTTCCTCCTCTTCTTCCTGACCTGCATCCTCCAGCTCTTCATCCCACTCATCATCATCATCATCATCATCATCATCATCTGCATCAACGTGGACTTCATCCTCTGCAGCCTTTCCTTCTGATTCACGCAAATCAGACTGACTTGGAGGCTTGTCCTTCTCTGGGCTGAGGGAGCCGGGGGCGCTTGGATGTTCATCCGCAGGATCATCTTTCACAGCTTCCTGACGCTCCTCTGAAACAGCAGGGGCGCTCTTTGTACCTTTGCCTTTGCCACTTCGATTTTTTGCAGCTGCATCACTTTGGGCACGCTGCGCATCTGCAGAATCTGTGGCTGTGTCGTTCCAAACATTGTACCTTGTCTGTTTTCCATGGCCCTTATCTCTGGAGCTCTCTTGCCTCTCTGACCGATCCTTGCCTCCCTTTCCCTTTTGCCTGGATGGGGAGCTGGGTGCCTGGCCTTGATCCCTGGAGTCTCGCCAGTTGTCATCCGCATCTCGCCAGTTCCAGTCAGAGCTCCGGCTGTCTTTCCAGCTGCTCCAGTTCCAGCCATCCCAGGAACTCTGGGAATACCTCAGGAAGAAAGGTGTCAAGGCGATTCAAAACAGGACTTGGACAACTGCTTTCATGCTGTTCTTCGTGCCCTTGCTAATTTTTTATCTGGTTGAATTCTAGTCTGCTGAAAAAGGCAAAGAATAGTTTTTGGTCAGATTTGGGATTTTTGTTTGGAATTTCTTTCCAAGTACCATTTTTGCCTTCTATTTGCAACAGTTTGGAAATAGAACCTGTCACTTTGCATGGTATTTGCTACATTTTGGCATGGTCACCTTCCATTTTGCATGGTATTTACTACATTTTGCCATGTTCGCTTTCCATTTTAAATGCTGATTACCACATTTTGCCACTTCAACCTCTCATTTCCATGGTATTTGCTACATTTTGATACTTCAAACGTTCATGTGGGTTTCTTTAGGGCTTCTTTAGGGTTTAGGGTTTCTTTAGGGTTTCATTTATGGGTTCTTTAGGGTTCATTTAGGGTTTCATTCAGGGTTTCATTTAGGGTTTCTTTAGAGAATAATTTAGGGTTTCATATAGGGTTTCTTTTCAGGATTCTTCTGATATCTAAACGTTCTTGTGGGTTTCTTTAGGGCCTCTTTGGGGTTTCATTTATGGTGTCTTTAGGGTTCATCTTTAGGGTTTCATTTAGGGTCTCTCTAGGGTTTCATTTAGGATAAAAACAGGAGAGAATAAAGCAAAAGAAAATGAAAAACCAAGAGACAGTAAAGACAGGAAGCAGAGAGGCAGGAAAAAAAACAAAGAAGCAGGAAAAGCAAAAAGCGGAAAAGCAGAGAAGCAGAAAGCAAAAAAGCAGGAAAAGCACAAAAGCAGGAAAAGCAGAAAAGCACAAAAGCAGGAAAAGCAGGGTAAGCAGGAAAAGCAGAAAACCAGAGCAGCAGGAAAAGCAGAGAAGCAGGAATCAAAAAAAACAAAACCTGGCAAAAAAAAAATAGCCCTCCCTGAAAAATCACCCGAAGCTTCAAGTTTCATCTTTGCAAGCTAGGGCGCTCATTGCCCCATTGCTGGTTTCTGCTTCTGGGGTAACCCATGGAATCCAGTCTACAAAGCACAAATCCTTGCTATGAACTGGACGCTGAGTGCTGCGATCTGACCTGGTCTGACGTGGAAAGGTTGCGTGCATTGTGGTAGTAAGTTGACAACTGATCTTGGCCATGGCAGCCATACCAGTTCTGATACAAATACCTCTGATGTGTGTTCAGTGTGTGCATGCCCCTTGCAAGTCATTGGAAAGGTCAATTGTGTGAATCCACAAGCTGCGGAGTTTCAAACAGATCATGTGGTCAATTCAATCCTCCGGTACTTGCACAGCAACCACCATCTAGGTCCTAGGTCCCAGAGAAATGATCGGGCATCTGCAAGGCTACTGACACTGAAGATTTTTGGTGACACCGCATGCAAACCGTCGGGTCAAGTTTTGAAACTCTGGAGGTTGCATTTGCCTACCACGCTCCGCAAGCCGTGCACTTTCCACGGGCATCTTGCTAGAGGTACCAGCCGTGTTCGCTGGCCTGAGACAGAACGTCAGAAGGCTTGCCACGCCTCACAATCCATCTCGTGTTCGGCGTTGTCCATACCAGTTCAGCATAGCCTGTGGCCAATGCTATCATTTCGAAGCCACTGTTGAGAGCAACATTCCACTCCTCTGGTGCGTACCGCTTTCCAGAGGACCGCGCGCGCATGATGCCACGCAGTTCCACTACATGTCGATCTCCCAGAACCATGACAACATGATTCTTGTAGCCGTGCCTATGCAAGCTATGCAACCAGGAGACACATTCAGAAAGGTCGTAGCAGGTGTGCGGAATGATGACATTCTGTCTTCTGCGAGCAGCTTCGCGCAAAAGACGCTCCTTCTGTCTCTGCAGCTGCTCCCTCAAAGAAGGATAAGCTTGACGCCAAACACAGCGTAGTTTGTAACCCTCTTTGACTACATCTTGGTATCCTCCATGAGCCACTCGAAACATGTGGCCATCCACCAGCACTGCATCATTGCCGTCGCCTAAGGCTGCAATACCAAGATCCAAAGCGGCATCCTTTGCCATGAAAGACTTGCCAGCTGCAGACGGGCCCACTAACCACACTGCCATTGGGTTCCGCTGTCGAGTGGCTATCCCAAGTCCAGCTTTTTGCTGTGCAGTGCGAAGCTCTTCTCGTCGGAAAGACCGGCGCAAACCAGATAAAAGGCTTCCAGGGAGCTCATATCCTAAATCTTCGCAAACTCTGGGACCAGTGGGAAAGGCTGTCCCAAGGCCCAATCTGTGCTTTACCAGAAGGACCACGCCATAGAGTACAAGGACGAGAGCACACAGCACAATGGGCTTTGAAAGCCTCATTCACCATTGAAGCTGCCGGACTCTTGGGGTGAAGCTGTCCACGTTCAGTCATGCATCTCTGGAGCAAAATGTAACAGTTGCAACAGACACACTGCAGTGCTTGGTCACATTCAGCCTTTGGCAACAAAGGGGCCCCCTAAAAAGGGCCAAAAAATATGCACCAGTATACACAATGAAGTTGCACAGGTGCGGCACAATACAGGATCCTTTTCCTTGCACTTTGGTTTAGTTTAATATTTGCGATCGAACGGTGCTATACTCTCAAAAGCGGATGGCACGCCAATCTGGGTCACAGTCCTGCACGAACCTGTAGTGTTAACTCTGGATTTTAAAAAGAAACAGGTTGCTACAGCAAGTTCTCTTGAGAGCACCCCCCTCAAGCGGATTCACATTACATTACCTCCTTTGCGCCGCAACTTGGCGTGGGCCTCGTGCCCTGCAATGGTCGGTCCATGCTAAAAACCAGCGTCCACGACCATGCAATCGAAAAGAGAGAGATAGAGAGATAGCACCCTTATTACTGATCATCTTGTTTGATCTTGACACCTATGGTGGCTCTTCAAGGCACTTCACTGCCGGCAATTGCGCTTTGAGCGTCTCCACATGCTAACTCTTGCAGCAATGCAGCTTGCCGGCAACCGATGTACTCAATGCAGCTGTTCAATCGGTTCCCCGAGAGTTACACTAATGAATCAGCCATATAGCATCCATCAAATCTATTGAGCAGCTGCATGAATGACGTGCCGAAGGGTCCAGTCCTGTCTCTAAGCATGCAGTAGAAACACCCCAGTCCTACACTGGCGCGGTTCCGGTGTAGAATGGACACTTGCATACACTTGCTGCAAGCAACTATCTCTGCTGTCATGGGTGGAGTCTTTCTCAGGATTGGTCGACTTTAGACTTTCCCTTCCAGTCCTTCCAGGCAAGTGGTCCAAATGCTTCACTGAAATTCTGAGACGCGTCGTCTTTGACGGCAATGCCTTCACGCGATCACGCTGAACGTAGCAGAGAAGCTTGGATAGCTTGGAATGTCATATCAGTTTAATGCTTGGGTAATAATCATTTAGGTTAGTTGCATACACATTGCTAATGATCGGATATTTTCAATGGACATGAAGCCATGAGAGTATTGGACGTGGCTGGTCCAGTCAAAGTATCGCAAAACATTCATGCTTCGCGGCCAGTCAGCTCACAGGCGGAAGACGCCAAACCTAAGTCACAGGCGCGTTTGCCAAAAAGAAGAATCGGGAAGTTCCCAACAGTCCCATGTAGCTTTCCAGCTCCCGACAAAGGTGAAGCATGGCATCTTGGGCTTGGGCCTATCGCGGATACGCCTTTGGCGGCCCGCATGCGCCTGAACGTGATAATGTCTTTCTTGACGTCTGTTTGACATCATAGCTGCCACCTGCCTCACGAGATATCACAGCAAGCATGTCGCCATCCTGCTCGAAGCAAACTCGTCGCCTTGCGCAAGTTGCTTGCAAGTTGAGCTGGCAGCTTGCAAAAGTTCAACCACCACAGCCGACCACCCCACTCTTCAACCACCACAGCCGACCACTTTACTCTGACCATGATCTAATCATGATACAGTGTCTCAGCAGCTACTATTGCACCAGTACATCCCTACAACATGTAGTTATACACCATGTTACACCTCTGAATCCATACAACATGTGAGACTTGTATAATACATTACTTTGAGCACGTTACATTATGCTATTTATATGTATTTATATATGATATATGATATCTATAATCTATATATATGTGTGTGTGTGCGTGTGTGTGTGTGTACTCTAACCTTTTCCAGGTCAAATCTTGCACAACAATGTGCATCAAATGCATAACGTGTATAACGTGTCCAGAATGGGCTACCACACGTGCTGTGCGGAGGTGGGCTCGAAGTGGGCGAAGACTTGGCACAGAGTCTCTAAACATTCGTGCACAGGGGTTGAGCATCGTTGAGCCCTGGACTGCTGGCTTTGAATGAGCCTTTGCTCGCCCCAGCAGCATCGGCCTCTCAAGTGAACGCCGGTTGCTGTATAGTAAAAAGCTGCAGTGCCTCAGCACCTGCATGGAATCCTCTCAGTCAGACCCTGCGATCCTTTGCCATTCCGGGAAAGTCTATATCACCAGCAGCACAGGACAAGTGATGAATCTATGATGAATCTGTTTGGTCTGCGCCTTTCCGCGGTAATGAACGATCGTTCTTTATCCTTCTCCTTTGGTGACGGCCTGGGACTGGGATCATCTCATCGATGTAGTGCTGGAAGGAATCTCTAAGTTCCGAACGCGGACTGGATGACTGCTGATACATTGAAGCGATCCTGGGATCGCATTTGTTTTTTTTTAGCAGTTTCTTTTTCCTGTTCTCACTCGCAGTACAGCTATGTGCGGCATGTTTAAGGGCAAGTGAAGCGAACATTAGCGAACTAGATTTCCAAAGGCTGTGCCAAGGGAAGTCGAACAGATCTCCTCAAAGGTAGTGCTTGGAGTCTTGGGAGTCGTTGGCGTCTTCGGAGTTTTGGGGGTCTTAGGCGTCTTAGGCCTCAGCAGGCTGTAGTTCTCTTCTACTGTTGTAACTTGTTCCTATGGTATGTCATTCAGCTGCGTCTGGGGAGCTTGCGACATTCCGCCAAGAGGGATCTCAACAAAAAAGGAGTTGTGATTGTTGGACCTTGGCACAGATTGTTAAGTTATCTTGCATTGGTATCATTGGCGTCAAGTCAACATGATTCTGTCAATTGGGATCGATTGGTGTCATCTCAGAGCCGTGCCCTTCCTGTTTGCCTTTGGGCGTCCTCTGTCCCAAGACCTGAAGCATGGCCATGAGGAACGAGATGCGTCGGTGCCCAGAAAAAGGCAAGCCATTCTGAGCTAGACAAGTTTTAGAGTAGTCGAGATCACGCACGCTTGAAAAAATAAAGCAACAAACCAAAATCTGGGTGGGCTGCAGCGGCTGCAGCGGCAGCGCTTCCGATTACGCGAAGAGGAAGCGACCTTAAAAACAAAAAACTTGGCACACACACACACACGCACACACACATGCATATATATATATGTGTATATATATATATATTATACATATATTATACATGTATACTGTATATATATATATATTCATCCCATGAGCTCACATAAGCCCATAGCATCTCGGCCCCACAACTCTCGCTGGGCCAGCGACATGGTGCGCTGATCCTCCCTTGCTCAAAGAAAGCGGTCTGGTGCACGCAGGCGCACACTAAATTTTCTGCTGAGATCGCTTCCTGGTTGGAGCCAGACAGTCCACAGCTAGAGCTAAACAGCAAAGCAGCTTCCGGCACAGGCTCTAGGCACTTACACTGTGTTGGCAGCCACAGGGAACACGGGTACAGTTACAACAACTCTCAAAAAGCAAACTAAATGTAAAAATAACTTGAACATGAAACATGCCAAATTGCTTTACATGAAGCACACCGGCAGCCGCATCACATTACATGCAAGAAGGACAGATCAAGCTTTCGCCCTCATCATTTTGCCTTGTGCTTCTGGTGATGTAGGAGTGCATAGTGCTACGAGGCTCTCAAAGGGATGGCACGCCAAGCTGAGTCAAACTTCCGCCTGCTTTAGCTGACAAAAGCTCTATGTTTCTCTCCCTGCAGCTCCCCATTTGCTCCCCATTTAACAAAACACAAGGTTTCAAAGTCTGTGCCTCAGCCTACAAGGCCCGGGCCTTGTGCCCTGCAATGGTCGTTCCAAGCTAAAAACTAGCGTCCACGACCATGCGATCGAAAAGAGAGATAGCACGATTACTGATCATCATTCCTGATCATCATTCCTGATCCTGGCACCTGTGGTGGCTCTTCAAAGCATTCACTGCCAGCAACTACGCTTTGAGCGTCCCTGCATGCTAACTCTTGCAGCGTTGCAGTCTGCCGGCGATCGATGTAGTCGATGCAGTCTCTTAAGTCTTAAGCAATGCCCTCAACACGCCCTGATCAAGCCCTGATCAAAAGCCCCCCGTGGGTGGCAGCCGCATCGATAATATGCCCCAGAGCCCTGTCCAGTCTCTAAACATGCAAGAGAAACAAGTCAGTCCTGCATTGGCGTCACTACTTCGCTCAGGGAAGATCCACGGAAGATCTTATCACTACGTCAAAAATATCACAAGTCACGAGGATGGCCAAATGCGATCCACAGCACCATGGCTTAAAAGCTCAAAAACCACATCACGACTCTACGTGACACCATATGCCTCTTGAATGCGTCTAGGACGGCATTGTCTTCATGCCAGTCGTCACGCCGAACAACAAGAAAGGAGGGGTGTGCCATCATAATCACTCGGCGAAACTTTGCAAAAGTAATTCACAAAAAGATTTTCTAAAAAATCATCCAGCTATTCATCCAGCTGGCCACCAAAACCAGCCGAGAGTGACAGCACAACTTCACTGGCTACTCAACTCCCAGAGCGTTACGTCAGCTCTCACACGCGGAAGGCACCGAACCTGCACAGCTCCATTGTGACATTCAGCATCTGAAGGGCATGGCATCTTGGGCTTGGGCCTATCGCGGATACGCCTTTGGCGGCCCGCATGCGCCTGAACGTGACAATGTCTTTCTTGACGTCTGTCTGACATCATAGCTGCCACCTGCCTCACGAGATATCACAGCAAGCATGTCGCCATCCTGCTCGAAGCAAACTCGTCGCCTTGCGCAAGTTGCTTGCAAATTGAGCTGGCAGCCAACTTGCAGAAGTTCAACCACCACAGCCGACCACAGCCATGCTGACCATGATCTAATCATGATACAGTGTCTCAGCAGCTATTGCACCAGTACATCCCTACAACATGTAGTTACACCATGTTACACCTCTGAATCCATGCAACATGTGAGACTTGCACAACAATGTGCATCAAATGTATAACGTGTATAACGTGTCCAGAATGGGCTACCACACGTGCTGTGCGGAGGCGGGCTCGAAGTGGGCGAAGACTTGGCACAGAGTCTCTAAACATTCGTGCACAGGGGTTGAGCATCGTTGAGCCCTGGACTGCTGGCTTTGAATGAGCCTTTGCTCGCCCCAGCAGCATCGGCCTCTCAAGTGGGGATGGCAACTGGTCGAAGGTAGAAACAAACTCAAAAGCACCCCAAGCACTCCAATTCTACAGAGTTGGAAATGCAAAGTCACAACAAAATTTCATCAAGGCGCCTTTCCGCCGTAATATAGGACCGCCCTTCTGCTTCCTTTTCCTTGGGTGATGGCCTCGCGATGAAATGGACAGGCGAAGCTCAGTTGGGTTAGGGTGCACATGTTCAATGATCCCTCCACCCCCAAAAAACAAATCATAGCATGGCACTGAGCTGTTGACGCCGATTGCATGATAGTCTTAATGGCGAAATCATCCTCAGCCACTTCAAAACACGCAAAACAGTTTGTCCCAGGCATTTCTTTGATGCTTCCTAGATCTTGTATGTGTACCGTCTTGCAGTGTCCAAGTCACCTCCACAGCAGCCGAGGGCGTTTGTGGACTTGTGGGTGTCTTCGGAGTCTTGGGCGTCTTGGGTGTCTTCGGCCTGCAGCTGCCCAGCTGCACAGCTGCACAGCTGCACAGCTGCGGGATGGCACAAGTCTGGGGTGCTGACGACATGGCACCAAGCGGGAGGTCAACAAAAAATGCACTGTGACCGTTTGACCTCAGCTGAAGAAACGCTAAAGTATCCAAAGTTAGTTTGAGGGGGTCTGTATGATTCTATGGCCACGCCAGAGGCAGTTCCGGGGGCTCGGCCCCTCATCTTGGCCTTTAGGGCTAAATTGCCCTAGTACCTTAGAATCCAATGCTGCACATCCGAAATCTCTTTGTTCGATAAAGGACACTTGCGACATCTTGCGACACAGCGTGACTGAGCATGGTATCCCAGACAAATGAAGACCGCAAATGTGAAACAAATGCTGAAGGTCAGCAGTGATCCAGGGAAGCTTGAGTGGACGGCAGCTGCCGCACTTCCAAACACACGGAGGGACAGGGCCCTCAGCAAAAAAGAAATGCAACCTGCTCACTCCAGATACTCCAAATTACTCTAAACAAACAACAGAAAAGCTTTTAATAGCTGTGTTGATCTTCAGCTCTCTTCCATCTCCGAGTCCGCTGCATGATGTGCTGATGCCGCGCACGAAGTGGACGGCTTTCGCACTAAATCGCGTGACGCGAGCGTCCCTGCCACTCAAGACTTTGGAGCCGGAGCTGGCGGTTCAGAGCAGAGACTGGTCCGAGATACCAGGTTTTACGTTTCACAGGAAGGTACATGCATGCAACACTACATATCTTACACGCAATGCTCGGTCGCAAGCGCTCTTTCCATGACATCAGTGTGACTGACTTGGACTTGCAGGTGGCGTTAGCAACAACATGAAAACATTGAAGACACGCATGTCAGATTGTGGCAGTCTTGCATCTTTTACTTGGCAAAAGGGCGCCTTGCGTTTGAGACACAGTCTCTGCGGCCAGTATTTGGCTTCCAACCAAAGAGATGTAGGTTTCCAGACGTGACACAACTTAGTAATTCCAGCTATTTGCGTTTGGACTGTGGGATCATGTTTTCCTTCAGATTCGGAAGGCTGCACATATTCTTTCGTGAAACGGAGGCGTGAAACTCAGTCATGCATGGCTATTGCCATAGCGAGAATGTTGCATCAGAAGACGCACTGATGAGGAACTTGTTGGAAATGGGCTCGAAAACTACATCCTTCAGGGAAACATTTCTGCAGACGCTACCCCAACGCCCCAGCCCATGTGCAACCGCGCAACCGTGCAACCGGCCTGAACTGAATCATCGTGCCCTTCCAAATTCGCCACGAATACCTTGTCTTCGATGTTGAATGTCTTGATAGATGCATCACCGGACCTTATGCAAATGCAAAAGGATGAACATGAAGCATGGAAGGGCACAAGCCATGGAGCAAACACATTTCTGCCATCTTCACCAACTGTCACATAATAACGCATCGTTTGAGCTGAGCTACGCAATGGCCAAAACCTTTCCACTACGATCAAAGTTGGCTGCATTTGCTGGATGCCGTCCAGTGTCAATCTGCAGGAATTCTGACACAACCCTCACATCCCACAGCTTGACAATGCCGTCAGCATCGCAGGAGGCTACGGTGTCGCCCTTCAAATTGAACATCGCATGATTGCAGGCGTTCGCATGTCCATAGAAGGTTTGGACACAGAGTCCGGTGCGCAAATCCCACAGGGAAATGGTTTTGTCGCCGGACGCTGTGAGGACATTGTTGGAGAAAGGCTGAAAGGTCACGAAATTCACAGAGTCCACGTGGCCGCGGAACGTCTGGCGGCATCTCATACTGGTCATGTCAAAGGCTTTGACGGTCTGATCCTACGGCACAGGATCAAGGCCGCCCAGCTGAGTCCCAATCCATGAAAGCACTCAAGTCCCGAAACTGGCAGCGCTAAGGGCCCAGCCATCGAGCAAGACACTACAAAGTCTCCAAGATCATGGAAAGAACAAGCCCACACCGGCCTGGATGCTGTCATGATTCAGGTCAGAAAGAATCTCGGAGGTCTGATGTTTCTTGACCTGAATCTTGACAGCATTCTGAGTTCCCAGCTGCGTGTGGTCAGTGAGTGTGTGCTTGCACTTCTCTTTTGCTACATCCCAGATCTTGATAGTCGCGTCACCAGAAGAAGTGGCAACCTGAAAGCTGGCAACAGTTGCACAACAATCAGATCAATATTGACAAATACAGTGGCAAATGCGCTGACAAATGCATCTATCAAAGATGGTCTGGACAAACAGGCGATACTTTGAGCAGTAAACAAGCTTCTGTGCTGAAATGTAGGTTTGGCCCCAGACTAGGGATCCTCGTGGATGGAAAGAGATGCCGCTTACCCAATCCCTGCCAGAAGCGCTGTCCATGTCATCGTCTAGAGAGGCAAAAGGTGTGAGCTACTTCACTCGACTCCTCCCGCAAATTGCTCCACAAACAGGTGAATTTGCGCGCACCTGTGACCTTCGCCACTTAGGACCAGCTGACCTGTTGGGCTAGCACTTTCACAAGTGACAGGTGCAACTGCCGATATGGGAAAAATGTGATTGAAACTGATCAGCGCCTTCTGGCATAGACCACATCTTCCAGGTGTGGTCATCGCATGCTGTAGCCACCACCGGAATTTTTGGATGGAAAGCCACACGTGAAATGGCCTGCAGCCGTCCACCAGGCGCAGTGGGCATCACAAACTCAACAAACTCAGGGTCTTCCAGTCCTATCTGAGCATCTCTCTGCATCTGAGTCCGTGGCCCCCATGTGCCCTTTGAAGACTTGAGTCCTGTGGATCAACGAGGGGACAAATGCATCGCTGATATTCACTGATCATCATGGTACATGGGGTGAACTGTGGGGTGCACCCTCAAGCGTCCTGGCAAACTCGGCCACCCGCACAGCTTCAAAGTTGGAGTTGGTGTATGGGTTGGTCCTGTCCAAGGGAGCAACAAGGGTGTGAGAAACAGGATCGTGCAATGCTTTGCTGGCAGAATGCTTTGCTGGCAGAATGCTTTGGGTGTCCTGTCTTCGCTTGGCCAAGGAGCTTCCCGCAGCGTCTTCTTCTTGCGAAGAAGCTCATCGCTTTCTGTCAAGTCCTGAAGATCATCCGAGTCGTCACGCTGAAAGTCCACCACCAGATATCTGAACGGCATGGGTCGGAAAAAACAGCACCGTTCCTTGCTGTTCGTGTTCTCTTCCTTGGCTTCAACCTTGCATTGCTCATAGGCAGTGGAACGGGTTTGAATTTGGGGCTTGTGACCATCAGAAAGGAGGGCCCATGATTCAAGTGAAACAATGTAGATACTACCATCAAACGCCCTTGTGTCTGAATGTCTAAAACGCCATGCAGATCCAGCAGGAATTTGCAGGTGAACCTGTGAAAGCTGCTTCTGCAAGGATTCCGCCTGCCAGCTACATCTCTGTAGAAAACCAAGTGGCAGCATCCCAACAAAACTGTTCAGGGATGTGAGTATCGGCATGGGTAAACGTATAGGCCCCAAAAGGAAACAAATTATAGGAATGAAATTGGTGGTTGAATGCGTGTGCATATGATTGTTCATATATATATATATATACATATGTGCATATATATGTACATATGCATACATCAAATGGCCACCCAACCAATAGAAAGCAGACCTTGGCTGCGTAGCGATCCCGTTCAAGGCGCATAAGCATTTTCTCCTGTCCAGGTGCAGGTGGGCTAAGTCGGCCAAGTCAACAGAATCTCCCTGGGTCACAGGACGTCACAGGGTCAGCAAGGCTATTCGGCCTTCATGGCAACCTCATACTTGTGCCGCAATTCTGTAAGGGTTGGCTCGTATTGCTCGTAGTGTTTTTTCAAGCGCTTCAAGTCCTTAGCTGCTTAGCTTCTCCAAGAAGCCAAGGTTCCAAGAGTTCCTTGTAGTTCTGGCCGAGGTTCAGCAACGCTCTTGAATGATCTAGTGACATCTAGTGACTAGTACTTCCATGTACTTCCTGCCAGGCCACAACAATCAACTTGTTCTTCTCCTGAACAACCTTAGAGAAGGCTAGGTTTGAATCAGCATGGAACCTAGCAGATCTGAGCATCTTACACGTCGATGATGCATCCGATGGTAGTCCCGCTCCTTTCGGAATTTGTCCCAGGACTCCTTCGCCTGGATGTTGGTGACACATCATTTCGGCTCGAATTTGTCCGAAAATGTGGTGCCCAAAATTTTGACAATTAATCATCCTATAGCAGTCATTGACCGATGGCAACAGGTATCTATCATTTTCAGACAAACTCATATGGACACAGCAATGCTTCACAGGACTTTAAGATCTGTGCCTTGGCTGCCACCATGCGGGCTTTCTCGAGCTCTTCCCGTAGCAGTAAGACCTGTACATATGGTGAGCAACGCAATGAGCGACAAGCATTCTTCAGCCTGGAAACATTAGCCATTGCCTTCTTGTTTTAACATAGTCACACAAACTTTACGCATATGTCCCATTCTGATTGGGCTTTGTGCTGGCATGTGCTGGCTAGAAGTCAGTAGAAGTGCAGCTGAGTCTATCTGGCAAAGCTTTCCGACACTGGAGGTGCCTCCTGCTGGAAGCCGTGGTTGCGAGTGTAGACATCTGGGACGACGGTCAGCTCAGAGTCCTGTGCAAAGATGTGTGAAGTGAATACTGGCACCCAGCCCAAACATGAGATGAACCAGATTTTTGTGTTGAAATTTCCATAATTTTCTGCATGCCAATGCCCTCACCTTGAACTTGCCACTCTGCTGCATCTCGTACCATTCTGCCTGGAAGACATCCAAGGAGCGCTTCATGCCGTACCTCCCAAGCAAGTTGTGCTGTTGGCAGCCTGAGCTGAGAATCATTGAGTCAACGCACTTCAGCAGGAAGTTTCTGAAGAAATCGTCGATCACTTGAGGACGCTGTTGCACCTGCAGAATTGGCCATGTTTTCAAACATGGCCATGTCTGGCCCATGTCTGGCCCATGTCTGGCCCATGTCTGGCCGGTGCCTTGGCGAGTCCAGTCTCCTCTGTGGTCTCCTGGCAGTCGAAAAGGGAGATCGCAAAAGGAGTTGGGCTCCTTCACAAATGATTTACACTTCTATCATCTTCTATCACTTCCATGTGTTTGCTTTTATCTATTGATCGATGAAAGTATGTGTCCTTCTATTCATTCGCACATGGGACAAATAAATCGAATGTAATCATTATGTATATATAGACGTATGTATGTATGCAATGTAACGTAACGCAATGCAATGCGATGCAACGCAATGCAATGCAATGCAATGTAGTGTAGTGCAATGTACGGATACACGCATGCCTCCCAGATACTTCTTTCCCTTGCCATGTGCACTAGACACTGTCGACAGCCCAAAGCTCCTGAGTATCTGCGGCTGTCTTCGTCTCTGCCAATAGCCGGTTGATGTCATCCAGCTGCTCCTGAGATGGACAGGATCAGACTATCTGAGAACCCCCCCTTTCCAACGACTAGAAAAGAAGGGAAGATTAGATGGGAAATCATATACATTATATATATATACACATAGGTATATATCTGTGTGTGTGTGTGCGTGCGTGCGCGTAATATAATATGATATGACATAATAATCATTCATGACCAGAGCCTCCTCATCATCTTGTTCCAAAAGTTCTGGATCTTCTGGCAGCTCCTGCCCATGCTCTCTTTCCAGCTCCGTCATCCAAAGTGTCAGGAAACTGGTGGAAAAGACTTGAAAAGATCCTGTGTTACATGAAAAAAATGCGCCCTTTCCGAAAAAAGGATAGACAGTATAGACTAAAAATCTAAAAGATCAAAGTCCAAATTGCCATGCACTGCTGTGACCTCGTAGTTGAACTCATCGTCGCTTTCCTTGCAGTTGCAGTTGAGGCAGGATGGGGCAAAATGAATATGGAATATGGCGCTGTGCATTGAGACCACGCTTTTTCTACCGACCCAATTTCCAACCAAGGATCATCGCTCAATTCGATTGTCTCCAAGATTGTGTGCTGCTTGTCTCTTGAAGCATCTAGGCCTCCAAGACATGTGATGATCCATGTCTAAACATTGCTACCTGTGATTGCTGTCATTGCTGTGATTCTCTCAAGGCATCACACTGACGATCCACATTTGGTCTGCACCTTTCCCCAGGACGACCATGGGGGCAGTGCGACTCACAATGTGGAGCTGCTCAAGGAGCGACACGTACTGAACTCTGGAGCCAATACATTTCAGGTAACGAAAAAAAATACCCAGATACGATGTCAACCCACCACTGGCAACTAGAAATGCAAAGCCTCCTGCATATGAAAGTCGAGGAAATTGGACCAGGAAGACCAAAGTGGCAGTTGCATGGGCGCTCTCGTGAGCTTTTTCTCTTCGTCTCGAGCAAACACATCACGGCTGCAGAAGATGGGAGATAGAGTCATTGGTCCTTCCTGAAAGGCAGTGGCTAAAATCTTCCAACACAGGCTGTTGAAAGCGATCTGGCGCCTCCGCGAGGGGTGAAGGTGTGATTGAATCAGCGGCCAAGCAATCTCGTCCTGACGCCCAGGCCCTTGGCACTCCCACCCAATATCTCCCTATATCTCCGACAATGTTTGAGGGTCGAACCCAGTTTTCATCCCAGCCATTGAGTTTCCGCCTTTGTGGCCGAGGACTGGCCCCCCATGAATGCACAAAGAATGGAAGCTGCAAATGATGGTGGGGTCCGAAATGGTGACACTTAAGCCTAGCAATTCCAAGACTTCTTGGGTTTGCATCATAGGTGGACCAGGACAACCCTTTGCAACAAAAAACAACGTGTGAACATGCCTGAACTGGCCTCAGAGTTAAACTGATTCCATGGTACGCACATGTACCAACTGAGGCTGTGACTCGCCAGCAGTGGACTTGAGCTGTGGCAAATTGTAAGTCGCAACCTATGGCAAGATTGGCAAGATTGGCAAGGCTCATCACTCCCAGCAACACCTCTGAGGCTCTGAGGCTCAGACTCCAAGGGCGTGAGACAAACTCTGGGACAGCTCCTCTGAGCTGGTGAAGGCAAAACCGTTCTCCCCATGTCGAACCAACCTCGCAACATGCAATGCAGAACTGTCGAAAACCGCTCTGTGAAATGTCACTGAGGCAATGGCTCCGGCAGTGCTGCAAAGGATCGTGCACAAACCGGAAGGCCAGCTCCAAACATGTCTACCACCTCGGGTTTCTTTGTGTGCCTGTTTCGACTTCTATTTGTAGGTGCTGAGCTTTGGCAGGCCTTCATTGGAAGATCATCTCCGGATGAAGAAGTGTGAAGACCTCAAAATGGACCAAAGCATCCCATCCCCAGCATCATCTCTCCAGCCCTGGAGGCTACGCACCAAGCCCACCGCTCAAACCCAGGTCAGCACTGCCCAGCAGCAAAGCATAGTCTGCAAAACTTAGCCTGGGAATTGATATAAGTGCCAACGCTGGACAAGCGACACTGGAAAGAAGTGCCAAGTCTCAAACCACAGGGTTAACACTCGAACTGCATCAAGCTGATGCCTCAGGATTTAATCGCGCGGCACGCGCTGCAGAAAAAGATGAACACTTCCCGATGTTCTATTATTCCCAAGGGTCTGGCAACATCGCCGCATAACGTTCCTGGCAGTTGCATTGCTGGGAATCATGGCCGAGCACTGCCAATCAGCGAGCCAGACTTGTGATACAAATCTGTATGCAGAATGCCATGAATCGCCTCAAACTGTTGCCGCAGTTCGCCCTTGCCGGTCACAACCACCACTGCACGCTTGGCAGCCTTCGGCAAGGGAGTTTCACATGCCAGACCAACAAAAGTTAGGAACTGAGAACAAGTATAGCCAGGCTGGCTTTGGCCAGGTCGCGGTTGAATGTCGGCAAGGCCTTGGTCAATTGAGTGAATGTGTTCCTCCAGTCTGTTTCAAGTGACTAGGATATCATGGCACCAACCGCATCGAGGTGGGGACTTCCAGCAGTTGACCGAAATCCTCATCCGGAGTCCAAGATGTTGAGCCTTATGCAGGGCTTTCTGAAAAGGGACTCAGCGGCCTTAGATACAAAGGTTGCGACTGATGATGAGGTGCGGCCGGCATGATGACCGACCTTGGAAGGCAAAGAGGAACAAGCACCAACTAAAATGTACCAAAAATGCTCATCTGGTGCTTGTGGCTGGGGCAAACTTGACGGAATCCAACACATGAGAGGTGGATACATCTGGCACACCAAATGGCAGCAATCACTCGGGCTCCAGCTGGTTTCTCCTTGAAAAAGCTGCGTGAAAAGAGTTTCACCTGCACTACTCAGAGCTGAGGATAAGGATTTGCAGGGTGCAAAGGATACTCTTCCCTGCGAAAGAGGCTCGAACATTCTTCTTTGGGCCACCACTCGGATAACCTTAGAAACAACTCTTTCTCTCTCTAAACAAACAAAATAGGTGGGACATTGCTGCTGCCGTTTAAACCTAAGGCCCCGACGCATCCAAAAGGCCTTCTTTCCGCAATTTTTGGAAGAGGACATGCTGCTCCTGCAGTGCTGTCGGCCTGGTAGCGTGGACGTCTGCTTTCAGTCCCGCGGGACTGCAATCGGTCACATTGTCAACCCCTCAAGCCTGAACATGGCTGCAGGACGATCATGCAAAGGTGTTGCACGAACCTTATCTGCATTATAGTTCTTGACAGGCACCCCTAAGCAGAATTAATGCAATTGGACATTGGCTTTCGTCTTGGACTGTGACGTGCCAGCGGTCTGCCAAACGAGATTGCATCCTGACAAACTCGAACGAGTTCCACAGGGGAATTGGGCACCAAATCTTCAGGTCCCGGCTGCACAGTAACGCAAAAGGCATCATCTGCCATGCGCCCAAAAACTCTTTCGTAAAGCAAGTGAGCCTCAGAGTGAGACTTCGCTGAGCCTCGCAGTGCCCTGCTTTGACTGTCAGGTGTTTTGTCGTGAGATTCTTCGCTGAGCTCAAATCTTGCACCAACAAATGGGTCTCGCCCAGCCTGGCACTGATACACATGTCCTACATTGTGCCGGATACTGAAAAATGTGCCAAAATGCTGAGAATCATCCACTTCAAACATGCAAATGAGTCTTCAGAGCCAGAAGAGAATAGCCAAAGTTGTGGAAGTCAATGATCAATGAAGCTGCCTGAAGCAAAGCTGACCCAACTCTCACACTGACGAACATAAACCTCTGCTCCCAAAAGCTTGCAACCTTGAGGCAATTGATCAAGCTGCCTGCAGTGTCGCGATCAGCCGAGCTATCACCAGAGTTGGCACCGCTGGCCTCATACTGTCCAGCACTCATCAGAAAAAGTATGGGTGTGTCTGAGAATCGGGGCATGGTACCCTATATTCCAAAACATGCACTGAGACTCACTGAGGCGTCAGCGGATTTTGCACCAGCAGGACGTCAAACCGTGGACCTGACCTGAACAGAAGATGCGAAAACGTCATCTATAGACCATTCGAAAATCCCTAGCAATGCTTTTCTAGGCAAAACTCTATGACAATGCTAAACGACGGTTCGATTGCCGGCCAAGTGCGGGACAAGAGCAGCCTCAGCAGCCCTGAAAGTAGAGACAAAACCTGGCAGGTTCAATAGCCCACGTCTTGCCTTCCACCCCTCCCTCTTGCACCTGCGCAAACAACACTATAATTGAATTCCATAAAATCTGCCAGCTAAGTGGATTTGATTAATTTCAACAATGCCGCTAAAACCCAGAAAAATCGCATTATGAATGCAGTACTTCATGGAGGCATTCCATTCAAATCCGCTCCTTCAAGCCAGCTCTGATCGTGAAGGGCAGTGAAGGCGGAGGATCCACGGGCACTATGTGGCGGATATGGATGCGGGGGTTGTTCAACACATCCTGGCTGCGGAGCACCAAGTTGCGGAAAGCATGGGAAGTCTCAACTGAGCAAAGAAAATCACCAATAGTGGGAAATCGCAATCTGGAGCAGAAACAGCGCACAAAAAGCTGTGAGCAAAAATCAACCAAATGGCAAATATTGCCCACAGGCCAGTTCCGCGGAAGTTGGTTGTGCCTTTCAGGTTTGGAACGCTACAGCGAAAAACAACCAAACTGTCACAAGTCCAAAAGGCTTGGAATCAAACACCCGCATAGCCGATGAGTGAAACTTCACAACCTCAGAGTTTTGCAAACTTCGACTGGAAGGAAAAGGCAGAAAGATGTTTTTTCGAAAGAATCAGAAAGTATCAAAATGGCCAATCAAGTGCCTAGCCATGCTTTGCCAGAGAAGTTGCATGATACCTTCAGAGTTGGAGCTAGAGCCACCACATGCCACAGATTGCCCTGAAATCTGCAGTCTGAATGCATCTGGGAACTCCACTGCATTCGTGGACTCCGACCAATGTCCCCCAGAACAATCACTGCAACATGG